AACATCCATCCATAATAAGGAAAGATCAGGTGTATACTATCCTTGCGTGTGTAAGATCCAGGAATGACAAGAGTTAACCTTCAACAGTAAACCTATCACTTATTACTATTTATTGCATATGGCATTCTGACATGTAGCCTTCTGGGATTTCAGGAATATCATTGCACCTTTGCCTTTTTTTGGCATCTTGAGCATGCTGTTTTTCCTTTTGTTGCTCACTGTATGTATTCATGACAATGTTTTTTGACTGTCTACCCACAGTTACTCATTCTTCTGATTCCTCCACATCCTGATGGTATATTGTCATAAGTCTTTCTCTCCCAGTTGAATAACAAAATAATCTCTGATAACCATTGGCATTATTTTGTGTTGTATTAGAGAAGAGTGGGTGAGATGGACTATCAGCTTGGAAAGCATCTTCTAATTGCCTTACAAGTTGCCAGAACTGGTCTTTTCTTGATTTGGTCATATGCTCTGTGTGTGACAGAAAATTATCTCCCACATATTCAGTCATCAACAAATTTAAGCAGTCCCTTTCAGCCTGGACTGATGCTATTCTCTCCATTAGGTCATCATCACTAGTGAGCTTAGGTCCTATGTTTTTCTTAACATATAAAACTCCAAGCTGTTCCAATGCTTCATCGAAAGCTAGATAGTAATAGTGACCAGCCTGTGTAATATTGACTGATGGAGCATATTCTGTAATAGGGGATTTTTTTGAATGTATGACAAATATTGTACTGTTGATTGAGCATAGTTTGCACATGCAATAGTGGTGCAAATGCCATTAGATTTTCAAACTGTAGCTTATGATTTCCATGCTGTATTCCAAGTTTATGACCCAGCCAATAAAAAGCCCAATCACTAAACAGACTCCACACTTTTAATGTATTGTTTGTCAACAATACCCACTCTCTGCTTTCTCCAACATTCACCAAGAAATTGTATATTGCTACTTTAACCCCCACCAACAACATTTCCATGACTCTCAATGCTGCCATATAATCCACCACCTTCTCGAATTTATCAAAAAAGCACACACCCAAAATTTCTGCCAGATTAAAAATGCCATGGCTGGAAGATTTTGATTAAAGCCACACACATGTTTTGTTTGTATGCCAGGCACTGAGAAGAAAGTGAAATTCAGGTGTTTGGTTTGCAGCAGTGGCAATCTATGGAATATATTTTTGTCAGCCACAATTGGCAACCCTCCCAGCAAGTTCATCCCCAAATCATCATTATACATAAGCACAGCTGTGTGTATGTGTGCATCACATGATGGTTCTTTCCTGGGTTCAAGATTATGACATTGGCAGGTGGTAGATTATTGCTAGGTGGAATGCGGGCTCTCAGCTCAGCAAGAACATCATTAGAGTCAAAATTAACACCAGCGGAGTATAGAAATTGTATAATACTCTCAATGTTCTCTGGCTGCTCTGCAATAAATCAAGTGACTCTGAGTTTGAACTGTTGCCCTGCATTAGTACTACGGATTTCTTTGGCAATTTCTGTTAGTGGTTTTGGTAAGGTGAATTGAAAGGTCATTTGAAGAGTTGCATGATTTGTTTGTCTTGTAACATCAAAAATGTTGTCATATGAAAATGTCTTTTGTCTAAAATCAGCAATTCTAAATGTTCTCTCTCAGATTAAGATTGTATGGCAGAGATCTGCTGTATTAATTCATCACTAGTCATATGCTTAATTTTAATGTTTTGTTTAATCATCATAATGCTGAATCTCTCCAAAGCTTTATCAAATTCCATAAAAGATCCTGGATGAGTTAAATTCACTGAACAGACATAATTAAGCAGAGCCTTTAGCTCTGGACTATCTGAAATGCATGCTAAAAAGTGTGGTACTGATCTCATGTAGTTCCACCTCTCTCCAGCAGGAAGCAATGGTGCAAATGCATCAAGGTTTTGGACTAACTGCATGTTAAAATTGCCCCTCTGAATACCAATCTTATGGCCAATCCAGTAAGCCACCCACTGAAAATAACAGTACCAGACTTTAACGACATTGTTTGATCCATCCATAATATTGCTTAGTACTATCCCATGATTATTGGTATATTCAGTTAAAGTGTAACTGACTGCCACCCATATTAATTCTAAAACACGGCATGTAGCTGAGTAATCCATAGCTCTCTCCAGTTTATCTAAATACAAAACACCTAATCTTGCTGCCAATTGAAAAATTCCATATCCTGAGAAAATGTTTATTAATGCTTGGCACATGTCCTTAGATGTATGCCACTGGCCTAGTAATACTCTACAATCTTGATGTCTCTCCTTATAAGAAATTAATTGGGTGAACAATGCCTCATCACAAGCTATGTCAAGATATCTGGTATGTCCTATACCAACATCATTGTAATACATATGTCACAAGCTTTATGAATGTTGGCATTGCAGTTAGGGCTTTCATCAGGCTGTAATATGATGACATTGGGTGGTTGCACACCTGTACAGCCTATATCAACAGTATCTTTCAACATACTTAAAATGGTTTCACATTCCCAGTCACACGTTCCATTGTCAGCAAATTGAACAAAAATTTGTTCACATGTGTTTAAAAAACTGTTTGTGTATGGTGACTCTCTGAACAAACTTTTTTTCTTATTATCTCTAATATTAACACTCACCTGAGCCTCACTCAGAATTTGTTGAATTGGCTTTGGTAACTCAAACGGAAATATCATTCATACAGTGGCATGGACACTTTGTCTGCTTGCATTGAAAATATTGCTGTAAGCAAATGTTTTCTCCATGAAATCTATTTTATCTATGACTGCAAGAGTCCAAGTATATTCACTGCTTTTGGTTTTATCTTCAGGTTTTGCTTTACTATTGTGAACGC